TGGAAACTGCTGGTCATTTAAAGGATGTTCCTAGTTTTAAATTGAATCGTCGATATATAGTGAAGAGAGTGGGATTAAAAAGAGTGCCTCCCGGATCAACCCTGGTGGCGTGCTACTCGAAAGCAAGACCCTGACTTACGCAGGCGGTTGGGTGATATGCCGAGCCCTGTCCTGCCCGAGTAATGCTTTGCATGTTCTTTCTACGTCACCAGTCCTCCCCTGTCTCCGCTATCGCGATCGCACAGAATCCTCTCACTGATTATACCGTATGTTCCAAAACGACCAAGTGTGATGAGAGGTCGAACTCACCCCTTGTAACTCGTTCCTATTTTGTCCTACCATTATGGGCTCGTTTGGACTATTTCAGCCATGAAATTTTTTCTGTATACCGCACATTTTAACGATGCAAATAGGGTACTTAAAGGCTTACGCCTATTTCCCTCAATGAACTGAACCCAGCTGTGGAATTACCACCGGCATATTGGGTTTCTTAAGGGGTTCAAACTGGCATGTAACCGTTGACCGTGAGATGGAGCGGAGGAAAGTAGATGAAATAAGGTCATGAAATGCGTCTGGACCAACAAATCATGTGGTAGGGTTTTATCTCCAGATACGCACATGTGACAAAATATTTTGCATTATATAGAATAGCACTCGGACAGATCATGTTCGTTGTCAGTCAGACGACTTTGCTATCTCAAGGATCTAGCTAACAACGCCTATAGTCCCTAGACAAATCTCTACAAATCCAGCGTTTACGTTTCCTGGGAACGGTCAGTAGCACAACAGCACTGAGCGACAGCCTCTCGACACTCCCATCCACGGTTCCGTAATTGAATGCCCTTCGCAATTTATTACTGGCGCCTCTGAACACAAAAGTCGGCAGTTTTCCCATGCGAATTGTAGTCCCTTCAAGTTCTCCCGGCTTGTTGGCCAGGTGACTATCGTTCTTGTGCGGCAAGAGAGACCGTGATGCAACGCAGGGGTTGCAACCGCACGAGGATGTCGGTCGGCCGACTGGCCCGAATCGTTCTGCTGCCTACCAAGTAGCGATGCCGGCCAAGGGCACTGCAGTGTGCTTGAATTCCAAATTTCGGTGCCGGTACGGCCGACTCAGACACCGTGCCATTTGAAAGCACTACTGAGGAGGAGAGGGGAGGCCTCGACTTGAGCAGGTGACTGGATAGCACGGCAATTCTGGTCTTGTTTTCGTAATCGTCAGTACTTTACTGTGGACACTAGCTTTTACGTTATTGTCCCATTTTGCCTCTTCTATCGCGATCGAACACAACCCCCTCGTCTATTGGATCACATGTTCTGAACTGTGAACCTACCGTGGACATATGGGGTTTGCGGAGGAATGCAAACTGCCAAATACCCGTTGATCTTGAGACGAGACAAGAAAACGCAGATGGTATACGACCATGAAATGTGTTCAGATCATTTAACCGTGTGGTAGATTTCTTTTTGGGCACATACATGAAGCAAAAGACTTTCTATTTCCTAGAGTACTCTTCAGATAAATCGTGTTTCGTTGTCGGTTATAACATCTGTTTGTATACTACTTCGTTTGGTTACTTTCACCGGCCTACTTATGCACGTTTTTTCTAAGAATGCCTAGACATCGAGAAGCTTCAACTTTACCATTTCTCTTTTGACCACTAGAAGGATGCTCTTGATTAAAAAGTAATCACCCTGCATCGTGATTTCATAATTTACGACTATGGTACTTGTGGGTTGCCTTGTGAACCGTTCCCAAGGCTGCCAAGTACACTGTGAGGCATTATGACAAGGTGTAGATTCCTGAGCCTTTATTTTTGGCAGCTTGTCGCAAAGTTGATGTTAACGGGATTTAAATGTTTTTTTATGGGGAGTTACCTTGTTGTCTCTGGGCCAGCCACGCAATGTAAACTGTCGTGTTCAAGGCAGCGCCTGATTTTCCGTTCTGATGGCTGTTTCTCTTACTTGTTCTCTTACTTTTTTCTGTTTTTCTTCAGTCTGTCGTCGTAGCTCTCCCAACCGTTTTTGTTTCTCGTGCTCTTGTCATTTTCACTCTTAAATTGGCTGGCTGATCATCCAATATATTCGTCATCTGCTTAACATACACCGACTCTTTTTGCCTGGGCCAAATACCTAATGTACTGCACTATGAAGTCTGACTTATGGTAAAAAAACAATATCAAGCATCAGGTTAGATCCACCTAGTGAATGCTATCCCGTGCTCAGTCTAGACAACACAGTTGGCACGCAGTAGTGCGTGACTCTTTTTTTGATGGGAGAATGCTGAGCTTCAGGCGGCTGTTGTTTATTTAGCCACCAGCAGGAATAAGCCTTGGCGAATTTCAGTTATTGCCTTTTCTTCTTGATAAATATCTGTCATTTTCTGTAACCACTTATTTCACGTTACTGCCCCTATGCTGCCTCCTCCATCGCGATCGTACACAATCCTCTAATTGATTGAACCATCTGTTCTGAACTGTGAACTTACCACTGACATATTGGGACTGTTAAGGAATTAAAGCTGCCATATGCACGTTGATCCGAAGATGGAGCAAGAGGAAGCAGATGATGTGTGACCAGGAAGTATGTTTAGCTAAATAAATCATGTGGTAGATGTCTTTTGTGAATAAATGCATGGATCATAATATTTCTTATTATTTGGGAAGCTGTTCAGATATACCATATTCCTATGTCGGTTAGGATCTCTGTTTGAATACTGTTTTGTTGGATCAACTCGCTCGACTTACTTCTGGACATCGAGAACCCTCACCCATGCCGACCCTTCTTCTAACACGAGGAAAAAGCTTTTGTTTAAAGTGAGACCACAGTAATTCGCGTGAATTCCGTTCCAGGGTTTCATATCTTCCAGTTATCTGTTCTGTGGCTGGGGCACTAAGTGTATTTTGTCGATATTTATTTTGATTGCTTTACCATCAGGCGTCGAAATTATAGCTTCCGGCAAACCTCTGCCTTTATTTCAGCTAGAAGTTTGATAGCGACCTTCATAGAGTAAGCCATCCACCACATCCAATAATTTCGACATTTAAAGATCCGGAAACCTGCACTTCCACATGATCGGGTGTAAGTTTTTGGTAAGTAAATGCAAGAAGTAACTTGCTTTGGATGCTTTCTTGAAGACTTCTTCGCTCTTCAAAACATCAATTTCTAAAGTTTAAAAGAAAAGACACTACATTTGGTTATCTTATTTTTCGCAGCAGTAGTATGCGTTGGCCGCCGATATGCAGTCAAGACTAGCGTCAAGAAGTTAAGACAAATACTTCTCGCTTCTATAACTCCCATCTTTACCAATCACTTCCTAGCCAGCGGAAGATTAAGAATGGGTAATCCATTGACAACGGCGTGCTTCAATTGTCATTCGCTTCTTAAGGCCCATTTGTGCAAAACCCCTTTTCAACGGGTACCTGCAGTTCGGACGCTGCGCCAATTGTGGGCGGTCTACACGCGGAGGGGAGATCTCGACTCGCATAAACAACTTGATATCGCTGCGAACTCGACCACACCCTCATAATCCTCAGTCATTTAGTTTGCACAATCATGTCGACGTTACTACTTGACAGGATTTAACTCTCTTGTTTTATAATGGTGTGCGGATTGTAACTGGTTGACGAGTTACAGAAATGAATCATCCCGACTGCGGATTGATGGGCTTTACTCGACTAACATTTCAGCTTTGGAAGATGAAAAGAAACGCAGTTCTAAAGTTTGCCCAACACTTTCATGATGCTGTTATTTCTAGGCAGGCCGTGCCATGACAACATGCAGGCATGTTCGTACCAGTCAGGTTTACAGCAAACAAAGTCTTTGCTGAGTCGCTCCAGGTTTCTACCGAAATTTTGACCTTTAGGGCCTCTTTGACCCGGCGACCGTCTGAAAACCAGACCAACTCTAACACGAGCAGCAGTTGAGGACAGGTCGACCGCCTGTCTGGTTGTTCAACAGTGCTCAGCTCTGTCACAAACCCCTGACGCTAACCGGCAGGCGATGCATCAACCCAGGATTCCGATATTGCGCACTCATTAATTTGACCGCTGAACGTCTACTAGTTGATCGGTCACGACTGCGCTTGCGTAAGTACGCAAAGGACGTTTTAGGGAGGTTCGACCCTGCTAGTTCAACAGGAGCGTCGAGGATAAAGACCTCCTACATCAACACTCTGACCCACATCAGCTGTGCAAGTATGTGGATCCACTCACTCCTGCATGTGTCCTGGTCGTCTTCCGTAGTTCACCCGTGAAGCCGTGGACCTTCACTGGATGAATGGGCGTCCGAAATCCTGACTCCTTTGTGAGGAGGACTAGAGTCCGATTTTTTTAGCTAACAGTTCTTAGCCTTACGCATTGCGGTCCAGTAATCATTAAATTTCTAAGACTAGTTCTCACGAATGAACCTAGCCAAACACTGTTAGGCAAGAAAATGACTGAAGGGTTCGTTCGACTCTAGCAAGCCAAACTGCGTTAATGCGAGCTCCATAATTCATTTTAAATGATTCTCTCCTTTCAAGATATGAGAATGAGCGTTCGTCACACTTCAATCGCAAAGCACCCCTGCACCATGTTTGTACTCGGCAACTTTGCTCTTGTATACTCTGGTTTTTGGCAAGTACGCATTTCTTACTGTACAAATGCACTGCTTTTCCCAACGCTTTCTGTTGTCTACTTCAGGAGATTCCACCGTCTATCCCCTTTCACGCCGCCCATCGCACCCCTTCCCTCCATGATCCCGCGGAAGTCGGAGGTCTATAGTTTTTTCCGGCCTATTGGAGTTTCTTTCATTTTTGCCAACAACCAGCCTCATTCCTCGCTTCATTACGCAAACGCTTTTGTTTTAAACGGAAAATTCGCGTCATACGGATGTCGAGGGCAGCAAAAAACATACACCAATAATACTAAGAAAAATGATACTGGTGATCGCATGAGCTGTTATTGAAGCCAAACAAATGTCTTTATCGGGAGAGAAATGTAAAGACCATGGCAGGCCAGTTAGCGAATCTCCATCTGAATGGGATAGTGATCACTGACTGCTCTCGTCTAAAAAACAAAAACAGAGAAAGGGCACATCAAGCACATAATAATTTATCAAATTTACTCGATCAAACAGTGAGCATTATATTCTACAGAATAAACGCTCGCGACGACCAATGCAGGTGCCGCGCAACGGGTGAAAGCAAGGCAGATTGTGTGTTTAGTCTAAAAAGGGGAATCATGTAGAGATTTTATGCGCATGAAAAATAATTGCCATTCCGCTAGTAGGGGGGGAGGGTCCGGTTAAGCGTTTTCACTCAAAGGAGCGTGAAATGACGGCGTACACATACCAGGTTTGAGCTGAGCTTGAGAATTTCGTCAAATTTCATTGGTTTGGCCGAATTAGGCACGATTCGACTAAGCAGCGTTTCTCCTTTCACTATGAAGCTGCAAGGATCGGAAAAAGGTTTTATGACATTCGTCTGCAGGATTCCAGGTCATTTCGAACACATGCTTTTGATCGAAGTGGACTGTCATTACGACTATCTACAAATAGGCCAGAAGAAGCTTTCGGCAGTGTACTTACCGATCAAGGGCACAGTCCTGGCTCGCGACGGTTGTGTCCATATCGTCACTAATCAGCCACTTGAAGGAGGAGTCTTTGACAAATTTCAATTCTCTTTTTTTCTTTTTCGATAAATATCTGCAGCCCGCATTCATATCACCGAGGACGATTATATTCTGTGCGCAACGAAAGACACAAAGCGGTGTGAATTCCCGTCAAGGTCATATTCCCGGGGTAGACGTGGAGTTGTGAAAACAGAGTGTTCGAACAACAAATAAAACGCAAATCCGAGGAGACGATCTTCAAAATCGTAACTTATATGAACAGAGAATTTTGTCGTTGTCTCTATTCTGTTAGAGATACGAAACTTTTCCGACTAATATAATAGTCTTGGTCAGGACCATAATGGTTTACATCACCGTCACCCATAAGGCACTCTTGTTTTCAACGAGAAAATAAACAGTCTAAGCTCGACTTCATTCAATAAAGGGCAGGACGTCCTTGAACATCGACCCATCAGGGGGTTTGGTCCCTACCTCGTTGAAGAACTTGTCAGAAGATGGGATGCTGTTATCTGTAAACGGAATGCCGGTTTCAGGCATCGTTGAAAGTCCCATTTTGGACGGCAAAATGTTTAAATGTTCTTGGCAGGCGGACAAGACAGCATCTCAGTTCCTCGAAACTTGGACTACTCTATGCGAGCATCGTCTTTGCCCTCAAATGTCTATCCCCGTGATGAAGTCTGGACAACATCTTGAAATATTTTTGAGTTTTGCGATGTGTGGATATGCAAAGGAGACTGATTTTGATTGACCTCACTGATAAATGTCATAAATTGTGCGAAAATCTCGAATTTTCCAAAATGCCAGCTGGTTGGTCTCGAATGGACAATGAGAATAGCGTCACAATGGAAAAACGGGTAGTTGTTGTCTTTCGTAGATTTTACTGACTTCAGTTTTGTTTGGCTTTTGTAGTTGAGATAATAACCGTCTAACTTTAGTGTAGACTTATGCCTTTATCGCACCAAAATTCCGATAAGCTTACAATATTTTTACTCTTTAAGACTTTGCTCCTTGTTCTCACACACTTCCAGTTGTTTATTTTTAGATTAAGTCAACACTCCGAGTTTTATTAAGAAGTCAGACTGAACAATCTTTCTATTTTCCCAAAGGAAGATAGAGCAAAACACGTTTGCTTTAAGTCAGCAAACTTTAATGTAAAATGACTTTACCCTATCCATCTTCATGCGAAACACATTGCTAATGAAGACTCATATTCCACAAAAATTGTTCGCAGAAATAGTTTACAGTATGGTGAGGATATCAGAACAGCTTGTCCTATGGGACATAAATAACTATCAAAAACTTAACAATCTGCTATCTTCTATAATGTAACCTTATGAACTCCGCTATTCTAAAGACTTAAGAACGTTGTAGTAGCTAACAACCATTTACTGAACTAAACAGATAAACAAATCTTTAAATCCTACATTTTAAACACTTTTTGTAATCTCAAATAAAAACCACCCTAGAGGTGCCTTCAAACTCCTCGGAGACGTGTGAGGAAAATTCAAAATTCTTTAGTATTTGATAAAAACAACAGGCAATACTGCTTTTTAAATAGTCCATTGATATTTTGATCATTCAGCGTGACTACCAACGAGCCAATAACTAAACAATCCTTACTGCCAAATCATTCTAGAACAAAGACGTCCAGGACCAATGTAGTGGATTTGTCTATTTGGCTCTAAATGTTAAATTTGCTTAATGTGATTTATAAACAAGTGGTTATAAACTTTTAGTCAACGATATATCTGATTCCGGCCGCAGTACTTCAGCTTTGAGCTAGCTTCTCAACAAATCCCATTTTATCTTAATACATGAATTGTAAATTGAATTTGCTCCTCGAAAACCTGTGTTCCTTTCCTGTTGTCTAATATTGCGACGAAACATTTATTAGTCATAATTGAGGATTTTTCGGGAGTCATATCTTTATTGTAATAATTAGTCAAAACCCAGTAAATTTTATTGCCAAAGAGGTTTCGCAGTTTTTGCGCCTATCGAGGCCTTAAATGTGTTTCCGGTTTTTAATGACTCCGAATGTAACCTTCAAGAGTTCTAAATATGTATTTTACACAATACCAATTCGCATTTTTCAATTTCAAATGAGAAAGTCCGAATTTTTAAGAAACTAAAGCAGTTTTTGCAGCACTGTTGCAACCGTTATTCGCCATTGGGTGTTATAAAGCGGAGAAAGTACAAGTTACTTAAGTGCTGCCCTCTCCGCGTATAATGTCGACAGCCAATTTAAAAGCTATTTAGGGAACATATAAAATGTTACATTGGTAATTGTGACCTTACGCCAGCATGTTTTATTTAGAAATATTAGCCATGCATATATTAATAAACCCGATTATTTTTAACTTGTATATTTCATGAAAATTGCTTAATGTTATCTTAGGCATTTGTTTTTAAGTTTGCGCAGTTATAAAATTTTGGTTGGCTGCTTAAACATAGGTCCATTTAAATTTAATATATGCTTAAAAGCCGTATTTTTCAGAAAAATTTAACAATTCCGTTTTTCTGGAGTATCCAATGGCGTTTTCTAAAATGCCCTGCAGCCTTCAGCTTCTTCAGTGTTTTCTGACGAAACCGATATTTGTTTAAGGATAATGCTTCCAAGTTAAAAAAATTAACCCTAAAGTTTTTCTTTTTTAAAAAATGCGTAAATTCCTTGTCTTCTTAATGTCTTTACGCTAACTATTTTTATTAGAATGAAGTTCAGCATTTCGAACGAGGATAGTTTTCAAAATGGAGTGATTTTTGAGTTTTTTAGAAATGGCTATACTAGTATGCAAATTGCCCTACACGAAACGTAAAACGCCTACCTCTGTTCTGGAAGCATGCGTACACTGTTTAACCGTTTCGTAGAGATTGTCCATTTCAGTGGAGACGGCGTCGGGATCAATGTGTGTGACGAGTGCGGCAAACGTCAGGGGCTCTGAAAAACAAACTCGGGACGTCCAGACTAAGAAATCAAACAAGCATCTCAGGCAGTTCAAAGTATTTGAATATTACATACTTTTTTCGACAGTCTTAAATGAATAGCAGTAGGGCGGACGCTCGAAATCTCCCTTGCGAACGGCAATTTCGGATTCGTTTTCTAATTTCACTTTGGTTGGGCTGCGTGAAAAAATAATAATCTAGGCACATTTTTCAGTTTTTAAATTTTTTTGTTAGAAAGACATCAGCTTCTCTGATAAGATTGCTACATTAAATATGCAGTAGAACCGTGAGGATCTTTTAATTCAGAAATCTTAATTCATACTTGTATAATAGTCCATATTGTTCTTTTGAATTTGTTCTACCGAAGCGTGGAGATGTCCGCCCGCTGTACGTTATGTTTTGCCTGTTATGGTTATTAACGAGCGTAAGCAGACGTTGGAAAGCTTGTTCACCACTGTCACGTATCTCCTGGATGAATATTAGGTCAAAAGTTTGAATTATCTAGGCAGTTATTTGTAAAGACCACACTTACTGATGAAATTACTTCCATTATTTGAGTGTTTAATGATTTTCTTTTCCCAAAGACTTGAATATTGAAGGATGCTATGTTAACAGCACTACACATTGATGTGCAGAATATGATTGCGAACAGGTTCATTTTCTCCGGTATCCGGCTTCTGAAAACAAAGTTAACGGTCGTTAAGGTCCGCATTATAAATCAACGTCTAGACGGAATGAAGGTACATAAATTTAAAACTAGATCTAGTTTAAAATGAATGTGCATCAATTCCATTTTATCTCGAGATAAAAGAATAAGAGGAATCCCAAAAAATCCGCAGTGTATGAAGTTCACGGCGTCCATAACAAAAAAGGTGTCATTAAATGACGAATTACTTATTTTGTTGTACAGAACAATCTCATTCACGTATTCTACTTCACCTTCCTGTCCATATAATTCATTACGTCTTTTAAATAGCCACGTAAATAGGCTCTCGTGAAGGTCATGCGGTTCACACGAGGCCAATTCCTTCAGATTCACGTAAGACGTCGTATCCGTTCGGTTCATTTCAAATAAATTTAGTTTATTGGGGGAAATAAGCGTAATTCTTTAAGAAACCTATTTTTAGCGTAAAAATGTGTGGTATACAGAAAAATATTCTGGGCTGAAATAGTTTACACGAGCTCATAATGGTAAAACAAAATGAGAACGAGTTACAGGAGGTTAGCTCGACTTCTCATAGCTCTTGCTCATTTCGGAACATAAAAATGTCAGGTTTCTTTTTAAAACTTCGGATAGATGGTGACATTACAACATCTGCGGGAAGGGCATCCCATGAGGTGACCACTCGAACAGAGAAGGAGAACTTCCGCACATCCAGCCTTGCCTGTTGGATGCATAGTTTGAACTTGTGACCTCGGAGGTTGGTCGTGGTAGCAAATTCAAAAAAGTCCTCGAAGGCCAGACTGCAATCCAACCTCTTTACAATGCGGAATGCTTGCAAGAAATCCCCGCGAATTTGCCCGTAACTCAAAAGGAAGTGGTCCCGACTTACCAGGCGGGTTGCATAAGGAAAGGAGCTTCGATCCCTTACCATCTTCGTGGTTCTCCTCTGAACTCTTTCCAAAAAGTTTTGATCCTAAACCGCCCACGGTCTCAAGATTTGTATGCCAAACTCCAAATGCGGCCGGACGAATGTTCCGAATGTCTTTCAGAAAGCATCTTCGTCAAAGTCCATAAACGCAGGCTTGATGGCGAACAGTACGGACGTTGGGCTTTCTGCCACTCTCGGAAAATGGGCGGATGGTTTAAGGGAACTCGTCGTCAGCACACTGAGGTTCCCTTGGGCTTCGACCTCTTGTGGGGCTGCGTCGCCCAGCAAGTAATCTCTTGCGCTGGCGGATCTGGATGTGTTGTCTTGGCGAAGTATGCTACATTTGGCAGTGTTTAACCGCAAGAGACAACGGTTTGACAATTCCTTCAACCGATTTGGGTTCATCTGCAGTCTGCCTTCGCCGGCAGGACCCCGAATTACACTCTATATTCTCATGTAATCGGCAAACATTGCTACTTCGCAGTCTGAAGCTCTTGCGACATCGTCCACGTATATAAAGACCAAAAGGCACCAGTCGACGTATGCTCTCGGCTTCTGTAAGTAAGCATGGCCTTACTAAACGTAAGTCAGAAGCTTTACCTAAATCTAAGTCAGATGATATTACTAGTCAGTCGTCACCCATTGTAATTGGTCGGCAGCTTGATCTGTCTGCACTTGACCACTGCAATGCTTTTATGCTAAAGTTTGGCATTTGCTGACAATTCTTGGACATTTATTCGACGGGAACATCTCCGATATTCCCTCTGAAGAATTTAGGCGTCTCGACTCACTTGTTCACCTGATCGCCAATTAATCTAGTGATAGACAGAAGCGTTCTTACAACTTTCTGCTAAAAAATGTTCCTCGATCTGCACGGCCAATTGATGTTGCGACCAATTTCCTGTATTCATGTGGTTTCAATTACAAAATAGCCGATGCCAAACGCTTGTCCTCCCGTAGCAAAAATCCACCCAGCTTAGTCAAATTATTTTCACCAATCGAGGTTGACACAATCTTTACCCATCGAGACCGTGTCACTGCGTACCTAGAAAAGGCAAAAATTTTCCTTTGTCATTATTTTACCCCTATGGAGCGTATAATCGGGTATTTATTCTCACGTAAGCCCACTGCTTCACAGTCTAATGCTCCCCAACTCGGTCATAATACAAGTGGCCGTAAGTATTCAGCTTGTCCTACTCCTGCGACATCTGACTCCCTCCTTCCTCTTTCTCCTACATCTCTATCTCACTCAAGCCACTTGACGCATTTGCCTGCCCCTAAACTTGCAGCAGCAGCAGCCCCATTTGTCGTTTCGTATCCTCCGGATAGTCCAACTGAGACACATGAAAATCCGTCTACATCAGCTAGACCGATCACTTCTAATGTCCAACTGGGTGCTGTAAGGTCTACAGTTAAGTCACCCGTGGCTTGGCATCAGAACGGTGAGACTCGAAAATTGAATCAGACTCCGACCCAAAAGATAGGTAGTACAGTTCCGTTTAGGGGTACGACGCCTTCTCTTAGATCTAACAAGTCTGTTCAGCCCAGCACGTCTACAAACCCCGCAGCTCCAATTATATCCCCGAATAATTCTCTGTCCTGCGTACCGGTTACTTATCAAAGCCCTACTATATATCCAGCAAATAATTCATACATGAATTGCCCTAAATCATTTATGCCCCAACCTAGTTCAGGCTTCCCAAAACTTAAGGCCAATTGATCTCAGGTACGTCAACCTATCTCCTTTGACTTCCAACCTAGACCTGGTTCCCCACCCTTTCATTCTTATAGCGGCCTACCCTCACCCACTAGCCCCTACTTTCCTTCTAGCCTCCCTCCTCCTCCCCTTCCTCCACTATTTACCTGCCAACAAGTCTATCAATGTTCTAACTCCCCTAGCTTTCCAATGTTTGAAAACTATATCCCCACATCCTTTAGGTCTCATACTCAGCCTCCTCTTGCTGACTCCCCGTACGTCAGTAACTCTAGACTAACTGGTACTTATTCTCCAAGTGTCATTAATTCACAGCTTACATATCCGCCTCCAAATTTTTTTTAATACCGTCGAAAATAGCATCGCCGTTCGAAACACATTAGATATTATATTATTGAATGCCAGGTCTGGTATAAACAAGATGGCCCAAATCAGAGCTATTGCTCTGGAAATGACGCCTGATATTATATGTGTAACTGAATCTTGGACACATTCTCTAATTCCTGACTCTGCCCTTCTCATAGATGACTTCGATTTTTACCGCCAAGACCGCACGACTAGGCGTGGGGGTGGTTGTCTTCTTTATCTTAAATCCTACCTAAAGCACTCTCCCTATTACTTAGATGTTTCCTCATTCACGGGAAACTTCTGCTTTGCATCCGTTATTCTCTCGCCGCAAAGAAAGGCAATTATTGTTATTCTTCAGAACCGACTAAAAAAGTTGAGGCAACAACTGCGTGACCCATCCACTAGTTCCTTATCAGTTCATCTTAGAATCACAGAGATTTTTGAGATGGCCTCAAGGATGCACCAAGCGCGCGACAGGCAAAGAGAATCAATTGCTCTCAGTGGTTCGAACCCTGGCAAATCCGTCGCTAACATCTTCCGTCATCGGTCCTCCTCTAAGCGTGGTCATGAACTTCCACCCATGCTAAATGATAACAAAGTCTTCCTCACCGATGACACTGACAAGGCGGAGTTGTTTAGTGCTTTCTTTGCAAAACACCTTGCTACCGAGTCCGATCCGGTCCCTTTCTTTCGATCACTTTCAGATAGGACACTTAGTACAATTGATGTCTCCTCAGATCTCATTAAGAAACACATAAGCCGTTTGAAATACTCACACTGCACAGGAACGGACGGGATTCCGAATTCGATTATTAAACAAGCGTCCGACCTTCCCATATTGCTCAGTCATCTATTCTCGGTTTATATTTCAAAAGGATTTTTTTCTGAAACATGGAAAACGTCAATTATCATTCCCGTTTTCAAGTCAGGATCTCGGTCCGATGTTAATAACTATCGGGGCGTGCACAAAACGCCGTCTCTAGCAAAACTTCTTGAAAGGATTATTTTCAATGAAATTCTTGACTTCTGTCTAGCTAATCGGCTTCTGAGCTCTAGTCAGCATGGATTTTTACCTGAACGATCCTGCGAAACATGTCACTTGGCTTTTCTTAATCTAATCACTTCTCTTCGTAATGAGCGTCAGTTAGTGGTAGTTATTTACTTTAATCTTAGCAAAGCCTTTGTCAAGGTGCTCCATAGACGTCTTCTAGTAAAACTGGAAGCTGTCGGCATCTGGCCACCTCTACTCGACTTCATCAGGTCCTATCTGTCCAACCGATATCAGAAAGTCATGGTCGGTAATAGCTACATGACACCCCACTCGGTCACGAGTGGCGTACTTCAAGGCACGGTTCTGTGTCCGCTGATCTTCCTTCTGCACATCAATGATATTTCGACTGAACTCGGAAAGTCGCAAACTTTTACTTATGCCGATGACCTCGAGTGTGTTTACTCATACTCTAAGGACACCGCAAATGTTTGTGTTGAAAAAATTAATGCCGATTTACTACGCTTAAGCAGATGGGGTTCGACATGGCAGATGGAGTTTTCATCATCCAAGTGTAGTTTCATGTCTTTTGGTCCTACCAAACTTCCTGGGCCCATAATTTTTCAGAATAACCCACTCTCAGAATGCCTCACGATAAAGGACCTAGGTCTAAGTTATACAAATAAACTTGCTTTATCACCTCATGCAGATAGAATCTCTGCCAAAGCCGCCAGATATGTAGATTTATATCACATAATTTTTTCCTTCCGGAAATGAAGCTTAGACTACATCAAATATTTGTTCTTCCAGTCCTCGTACACTGCTGTCCTTTCTTCGGTTTAATGAACGCCTGCGACCGTAATAAAATCGAAAATGTTCAGAGGTTTTTTACCCGGAAACTGTTCTCTGAATCTTCGTCCAGTATTTCTTATACTCAGAGATGTCAGCTGGCGAACATTAAGTTTTTGTGGGTTATAAAACTCGAAGCTGGCCTTTGCTTCCTTTTTCGCATCAACTCTAGCTCCAGTCTTCCGCACATTGACACTCTCACTCCGAGAGATCGGTCTTATGCCACGCGCAACTCCTGCATGGTGATTCCGCCGCCTCTTTGTACAACATCTAAGCGCTCCCTCTTCTTTGCTTCCAAATATGCCTTCCTTTGGAATAATCTTCCGCCTGAAATTAGATTATCGCCTAGGTTACTAGTATTCAAGTCGAAAGTACGCAAACATCTTACACCGGAAAGCATAAAGGCACTGTTAACGGTCTCATTCCCGAACACTCAGATTCTTGACTTCGAGAAGGGTCCTCCTGGGATTTAGTGGTAGATCAAGTGGTAACTCTTAATTATATCATTAAAAACCCCTGTTTTGAATTGGTTTCTAAATCCACTGCTGTCACTTCTCCCCCATAGCGAGGATTTTCGCGGTTTTTGATGTTATCTCCCGCATTCTGACCTCGTGCGGTCTGTCGACACTCACGGCGGAACCCTCAGTATTCGCCTTCTACTAGTAGTTTGGTCGTACCTCCCTTCCCCACTGCTCGGTTGAGCTCGAAGCGTGCTGTGGCCGATCGCATCTGGGTTCCTATCGTCTGGCCTCTTTGACGCGAATAGTCTCATGCGGCGTATCAATCCGGCCCAGACGATCTCAATTGTGAATCCCGTATACAATGCCACATGCAAGCCAGTCCTGTCTGACCCGCATACGTAGCCCTCGAGGCTGAGATTTATTGCTACCCTGACGATGACCGACAACGTTCCGTTATATACCGCCACCTACAGGCCAGTCCTGCTCGCTTTTTCTGTCATTATTTTTATTGAGGGGTTTTTTCTCCTGTAAAATTAATCCAATCATTTTTAACTTTTTGTAAAGCGTTTTTTCACTCCTTAATCATCATGTTTCTCAATGGACTACTAATCCAGA